TCCCGGGGCGGGGGGGGTCCCGTCCCTGCCCCCCGGGGGGAGCCGGCGCGGGGGAGCAGGGCGCTGGTGCCAAGCCTTGGCAGCTGTGCTACACGCACACTCCGTATATCTACACACCCCCTCCCCGTGCATCTGCGCCCCTAGGCTGTGATACCCCACTCAATTCGGCCCTCTCCCGTCTTCCCAGGCCCAACACCCTGCCCTCCTTCCCTGCCTGTCACCCTCCCCCCCCGGGATGTTGTGTCCCCCGCCTGCCAGGCAGTGCTGTTTGCAGCTCGTCGGCTGCTACCCTGGCTCCCCGCCCGCGGGCATTACCTGGCAGCACTTCTTTTACTCAGATTGTCTCGTGATTAGAAAACCAGCCCCAGCGGAGTTTGTAAACCCCCTTCCATCCCTCCCAGCACCCCGTTCAAGCAGACTACTACTTTCAGACTGTCCGCCCCCGCCAGGCACAGTAGGAGTAATCAAAGGTTAAGACGCGCTCCTGAGCGGAAAGTACCTAGCCTTCATGCAAAAGCAAGGAAACTCCCTCCCTCAGGTGCATTCTTTCACTTGCACCCAGCACAATGTTCAAGGACATCCTCTGGCAGGGATCCAGACAGGGGCAGGGCAGGGAGTCCTGGCTTTCCATGAATAACGTGTTTCTTTTCCAGGAAGGAGATGATGAGTGGGATTTTGGAGCGGGGGTGGGGGAAGCCACAGCCCCTCCTGTGAAAGAAGGAAGTACTGGAGGGACATTAAGGTAGTAAGAAGGGACTCCTCTGGGTGTGAGACAGGGAACCGGGAGTGAGAGAGGGTAGGGATGGGAGGGAATATTGAAAGAAAAAAAATCCTCTGTAGAGTTAGTGAATGCAAGGGGAAGCAGTCTCCTAGGTCAGGGGAAGGGAAGTGAGAGTGGATGAGGTGGGTTGGATTATCTTTGCATTTGTGGATAAGAAGGGGATTTATTCTTTCATCTCATTTTAATATTTTCTAAGTTATCTTGTCCTTTATTGTAACCTGTCCCGAGCCTTTTTTGAAAGAGTGGCTTATAAATCTAATAACCAAACATCTCAAATCTTTGTAAGAAAATTCTGTACAATTTACAAATTGTTTCTTTAGGGCACAGTTTTCAAAACACCATACCTTCTTGTAAATTATAGGATTGAAGCAGGACTTGTGCCTCAGTAGGATTAAAGATGGCATTTTCAAGCCATGGACTTGCAACTTGTTGTGTGTCAGTTAAAAATCAATGGAACTATATTCATAGGCCTTCTCTGTCTACTTCTATTTTGCTTTACCGTTTAATAAGCTGTTTAAGGCAGAGACTTCTTTTCTTTGTATTTGAACAGCATCTAGTATAGTTGGGCGCCAATCTTCACTGAGACCTATGCTTGTTCAGTCTATAAGGTCTCTTACCTTGCTTTCTTACTGCAGATGTGATATAGGACAATCTGCTGATGGAGAAACTGGCCCATCAGGTTAGATTTGGAAAAAAAGGATTCCACTTCTGATCTATGCACAGGACAAAAATAAGTAATTAAAAAAACCCATTAGCCAGTGTGCCAGTGAATTTGAATATTTATGAATATTACTAAATGCTATATTTACATATATTAATCATTATATTGGTAGTATAGGTGATAATTTATAAGAATA